CCATATTCCATAATAAATTTGAGATATTTAGAAAATATAGCAGTATGGGAGCAGTGGGGGGAGTCAAGTGGTCAGATTTAAGAAAAGTTCGTTGAGTTTCAGCTCTATACATTTTAAGTATGAAAGGCAAATGTGCTGCCCAGATTAACGCAACTGTATTTCTCTGTTGATGGTTGGATATTGGTGCCTGATGTTTTCTGGTGGTCATATTTCAAGAAGGAATGTAAATTGTGGTACTTTGGTGGCAAAGAGATTTACAATTTTCTCACAACAAAGCATTAAGTGTTGCTTTTCAAATAATAGTGTTGAATTGGAAGTAATGTGTACAGTGTGCAGAACAGTTTTAAGTAAAAGGCGAGTAGGAAAATTGACCCCTACTTTACCGAGTAAAGCAACTGCCAAGTATGTACTTCTAGAAGAATTTGTTTGAGGTTTAAATTTATGAGTCCTTGTCTTTTCTCTTCCACTAGAAGTGAGAACTCCATAATTCTTGGGTGCATTATTTATAATTTCATAAAGCTGTTCTGTGACAGGACTTATTTCACCCAGCATTCTTCATCTTTCTCAAATAATGGTGGACCCAAAGAGCGAGGTGTCAAAAAAACTTTGCCGTTGGGAAAAGGAAGATTCAGCACCTGCCATTTTGTGTAGAACAAAGGAGCAAAGGTTGTGGATCTGACACGTAAATTAGGGCTTTGAGCACTTGGAAGGACTGGACAGGAATAGATACATCTTGAGCAAGTCTTGCCACGCCATCCCAGCTTTCCTTGTGCTTTACATCCCACACCAGTATGTACAGTGTAATGAACAAAGATGTAGAACCATCACCATGGTGAGATTGAAGAGGCCCTTAGAGTGAATAATTAGGAGGAGGTGATTACAGAACTAATAATTCATGGAAAGGAATGGGGAACCAATTCAGTGAAATTGAAAGAATTTGAAGGTAAATATGCCCATAAATCCTCCAGGGTGGACTCAGAGTTTAGCACTTTCTCCTACCCCGGTTTTATTCCAAGGCAATTTCATTAAACACTAGAGAGAGGGAGAGAAAAAATAATAATACAAATGCCATAAAAAATCTTTCAGAGGAAGGAATAAAAAGGGTTCCTGCCAGAGGGAGATTTTATTGAAAGTTATTATAATACCTATCTTTAGTTTTATGGCCTTTAATACAGGGCCAAGTAATTTCAAAGCTGGGATTCTTTAAAAATGAAAAACATATTTTAAAATAGTATAGTATGAATTATTATTTTTAATATAGAATTTAGCTAATATACAGAATAGAAAAATATTTGCTCTCTCATGCTTTTTCCAATGAAAACACAAACATTGTTTCCATCATAGCCTATGGAAAAGTTTCATTACTATCATGTTGCCTGTACATAAGAATGTTTAGCATTTACCATCTCTAGATCACTGGGCAGACACTAAAGGATTAATCCGTTTACCTCCCCTGGGGCCAATGGGTGAGGATCATCAGCCCCAGTTTAAAAATGGGGAAAGGGAACCAGAAATGGAATAGCTGGTTTTGCTTACTCTCTCACAGCGAGCCATTTCTGATGAGAAGAAATGATGATAGTGGAGAGATTTCTGGAGTTGCTGCTCACTAGCCTCTCCTGTCTTGTGGAATCAGCAAGTTTAATAATAATCCAGTGAAAATTCTCACCTCCAGGACAGTTTTGAAAGGTACAGATTCCAGTTACAAGAAGTTATGGTCTTCTGGAGGTTTCCTTGACTATGTTTCTGTGGTCAGGAATTTGCTGCTGTTTCTCACCAAAATAGCTTTACTCCTCTGGGATGATTCAGCTGTTGGTATCTGAGCGGAAGGTGCATGGAAAACCAATATGTGGTGGAACTAGAAAATCAGTTAGTGATGAATTGTGATGGAAAGTACTGAGATTAAAAATACAAGATAGGAAATGGCAAGACAGATTAGTGTACTTATCTTTTCTGTGGTTTCTAGAGATCTCGTTAATGACCTTGACTTAAGTCTAACACCACTTCTGGAAGTTTTTCTCTTTTTCTAACCCGCATTTTTATACATACAAAATCAGCTGCATGGGACAAGCAGCAATCACAGAGCAAGAAAAACTGAAATTATCAGGGGAAATAGCATGCAGTGGATATGGGGAGAAAAGGACAGAAGTTCACTGATAGAATCAAGTGTGGAACCAGTCATGAAAAAGTGCAGACACAGGCCAGAGCTGTCAGGCTTAGTGAGTACTGCACATCACACGTTTGCATTTTGTCTGAGTCTGACTGTGTCCTTCTCTGTTCAGGACCAACACAAGGAGTTTTAGAAGGAAGTCTAGAACACGTACCTAAGAGTGCAGTGTAAATATGTTGCATGTGCTGTCCTTAAGCTGCTTATTAGGTGTGAAATTAATCAAGAAGGTAAACAAGGGCCAGGCTTCATGACTTTTCGGTTGCTGCTCAGAACTCACCTTGGCTTAAGGAGTGTTCATCCCCCAATGTTCAGGATCTGTCAGACACGAGAGTGGCTGGAAGGCTGCAGGAGCTCACCTCACCCAGTGCCCTGCCTCTGGCCCTGGCCATGTATGGGGCCTCTGGGAGAGAGTCCTGGACAGGACAATGCAAATAGCGATACTTCTTTGGTCTTCAATGTCTGTGGCACGAGGAGTTCCCAAGCTAGGCATGGGGTATTTAATAGCTTTGAATGATGTTTTTACCTTTAATTTGGCTGATCGCTTCCAAAATGCATCTAAACCTTTATTACCTACCAGTATCCTGTTGCAAGGAGTTCCCCAGTTTAAAAAAAAAAAAAATTAAAATGTTGTGTAAAGAAATATCACCTGTTTTTGTCTGAGCATGCTACCTTTCTGGTTTCATGTGATGCCCCTAATAAGCAAGAAAGGGAAAAAAAAAAAAAGTCATAAAGGAACTCCTTATTCTTTACAAATACTAAATCACATTGTCAATTCAATTGGATCTGATTCCAAGTTAATGTTCCATGAAGCCCTTAGATATGAACAAGTAAGTAGATAAGTGGACAGTTTCAGCAGTTGATAAGTGACAACCACACAGTATTATAATTTTTATGTTTATTTCCTACTTGAAGAAAATCATCATTTTTCTTCTATGAGACTCTACATGTGAATTGTCAGATCTTCAACTAAGAGCAAAATTCACATGCTCTAAATTCAACCTGGAAATCAAAACCAATTGCCAGGGTCTTAGCACTGTCTGAGCAAGGTCTTCTAATAGTGATGAATAATTTACTCTTTATTCATAGTGCTATCCCTAACACTCTTTTACAAGTGCTTTAGAAAACTGTAATATAAATCTCCAGTTTCACTAGCTACATTTCACCTGCTTAAAAAAATTTCTTGTAGCGTAGTTTTGTTGACTTATTGTGCTAAATTACTTTACAATGATGCAATTAAAAACTTTAAAAAAAAGAAAAAATATTTTAAAAAAAAATTTTTTTCTTAAAAAGAAAAAATTCCTTTTAATCTTGCCTCCCCATTGAGACAAGATTATGACAGTATTTAATGAAAGTATTTAAGCATCAGACTACAGCAAGAGTGCATCCTAAAAAACATCGCCAAATGGCAACGCCAGGGTAAGACTGAGTAACGTGTACGACAGGGATTCCCTTTCTTCACAGCTGGTGTTTTACAGATACGCTATTTTTAGAATTTTTATTTACAGCCAAACGATCCTATTTTTCTTTCTTGGCTCACTCTAAGCCACTGAAATCAAGAGTGAAGGAATGTCAGGTTCAATCTGATCTTTCTGACTGACATCTCAGTTCTGTTTTTTTCCTTTGCTCAAATATGAACAGAGAGGGAGAGAACAAGGACCTTCTGGCAGGGGACAGGGGGGCTTGCTAGCACTAGGACCACAGGAGGTTAAAGAAAATGCTGAGAGCTCAGAACACTTATGCAAAGAGAAAAGTCAACATGCAGCATATTGGGGACAGACATAGCACATAGGAACGTAAAGGAGACCTTATTTAAAGCTGGAGAGTCTTTTTCTCAGGAATAAGGATTTGGAAGGCTTGTCTCATGATGTGAGAGTCTCAGGAATATTCACCTGGACTACTTAAATCCAGTGTACTGAAGTACAGCCGCTCTGCTCCTGAGGAGCTGAGATTTCAGCAATGCTTCCTACCTGATGAGGAACATTTTAGTTGGTTTGTTTCAGGGGTCATCCCACTGATCCTACTGCTCAGCAGAATAGGCAGCTCTGTGCAAGGGAAAGTTGTTAAGGGAGACAATTTCACCAGAAGCCATGGTCTGAGCTGATGCTGCTGAGCTGCGGTAATTTGGTACTGTGTGGCAGGAATGTTACAACCTGTGTCCAGAGGCTGCCACAGACTCTCCCTAATGGTCTGCATTACTAATTCAACTAATTGCAGCAATTACAGGCAAGAGATGCTGCTGGGAAGAGACACCATTACACTTCTCTGTAACATGCTGCAGTACATGCTGCTCATTAATTAGACCAGCAGCAAAAAAAAAAAAAAAAAAAAAGAAAGACAATATCACCAGCTGGAAATGCAAAGGAATGTGCTGAAACCTGTAAGGGCTGTGAGCAGTCAAAGTTTGGTTTAGGCCTTTAAGAACCAGACTCTCCAGCCTGTCAGCCCAGTCACAGCCACATCCCTGTCCACTTGGCAAGCAAGCAGGTGAGGCTGCGTGTTGGGCAAAGCTGACACATGCAGCGCTTCTTCATGGTGCAACAAATGGGCTGCACAGATATTTACTCTCTGGGTAAATAATGATGGATTCCCAGCCCAAGAGGTGCATTAGCAGAACAGGAATTACTTCTGCCTCCCAGTGATGCATTTAGCAACCCAGCTAGTACAGTACTGAGTCTATCTTGTACGTTTTTCTTTGCAGAAAGCATGTTCAGCCTGAACATGCCTCGTGGTAAGTCTCTCAGTAAATACCTTCTGGCTGGCCCTCCCTACATGGTATTGGTATTTATGGAGGGGCCCAGCACATTCGAACCAGACACATCTCCTTTGGCCAGAGATGTGTCCACGTCTGGACTTTGCCAGCCCAGCAGGTGTTGTAGCCCACTGCACTTACTGTGTTCAACAGCACAGTGTGATCCGCCTGCTGACCGTCAGCCGCCCAGCAGGCACACCGCACCCGGCACCCCTGAAATATTCAGCAGCACAGGATAAGCACTATTCCTCTGACAGGAGACTCCAGCTCCATGGAGGCCATATTTACACAGGTGTATCTGGAATGCTCGGTACGAGTTAAGTATTTTAAAAGTTACAATTCTGAAACTTTTTTTTTCCGTAGGATGCGTAGCTGCCTCTGTAACTGCCTTTTGACTTGCATCTATCTTATATTATTTTTCCTCTGATCTTTTTCCTTCGTTCCTTTCCCTCACATGCCAGACAACAGATGACATCGTTTCATCAGCTGAATGTTCCAGTGATGATGAAGATTTCATTGACTGTGAGCCCAGTACAGGTAAGTCAGGTCAGTCTTGTTTTGCTTGCTTTCTGATTTCATTTGCAAAAAACAATGCATACATATATTATATGTGTGTGAATGTATACATATATAATTCTATATGTATATATGTGTGTGTATATGTGTATATATATACACTTAGATATATATATACTGTATAGAAAATAAAAATTATACAGCCAAGCATCAGATCCCATGGACTTGGCAACAGCAAAACGCAGATATCTAGTCACTATTTGCTTAATATAAAGTTGTTTCCGTGGAAAGCCAAACTTCCTGAAAGTGATCCCAGCTAATTAGTAGTTTATATGTTTGTAGCAGTTACTTCACTGACACAGTGGGAAAGCAAAAATATCAATGTGGCATGTGACAAATAATAAAGATTTATGAAGTGAGGAAGGTGAATGTTTGAAAAACAAAAGAGAAACAAAAGTGAAGCAATAATGGGTTATTAGCATTGTTTAATCTTTGTTAATTGCTCTGAAGATGGACTGTAAAAGGATACATTTGTCCATGGGATTTTGAATACAGTTAACATGGTAATGTATTTATACTAATTTTGTTTCCTGTGAACTCAAAGAAATTGGGGAGCACCAAGACATAGTTGCAACATAACAAAATTAGTAGTAATTCTTGCCCTGTTATCTGCAGTGATGCTTCAAAATGTATCCATTAAAGAGTCAGAAGGACTGGCCATGTGGAACTGACTCAACTTCTCCCTTGCAGATACATTTTGATAAATTGATGGCTTTTCTTTCTGGTGAGATATATGATGTGATATCCAGCAGGCAACTGCAGTCTATTTTATTTCTTACAGGCTTTTTCAAGTCTTCTTTTTTGAGGCTTGCCATGAGTTAAGCATTTCTATAATAGAGAACAGACATCATCGAATTTCTGTGTACATTTAAAAGAAAAAGAGGGAGTTTGGTTAGAATTTTTTTTCCTTAAAAATGAAACATATAAATAGTTTAAAGTGGTTTTTTGTTTTGGTTTGGTTTGTTTGTTTTTGCTTTGTTTTATTTGGGATGGTTTTCTTTTTCTTTAAAAAAATCCCAAGAAAGCATTATAAATGTTCTGTTTCTAGTTTCCCGAAGCCATTCAATTAATACAATAATAACATTAAAATTCACCCAAGGCTAGTGCTTTCATATTTCTTTTCAATTTGTCATGCTGTACCTGCATTTTTTAGTAGAACTTGGTCCTGCAGTCACCTGAGATTGGCATTACCTTGTAGCTGGGAACTTCCACCTATACTCGTGACTTCCCTGTGATGGCAGGGCAGGCAGTGACACAACGACTGATGCTGATAGCTCAGCCTACTCTCATCTCTTTATTCACAGGTCTCTCTGAGTTTTTCAGCTCCCCATCTGGCAGAAAAACAGTCCAAATAATACTAGAATGGAGAGCATAAACAGTGTGGGTACTGGGATTTTAAATAAAGGTAGTAATGAAATGCCAGCACAGTGATTATCATGAAAGTGAGGCATAAGATTAATAGGATAATGCTAAAAGGACTAATGTACCACAACTGATATGCAACTGAATGGATAGGAATAATTTCATTAAAGCTTCACTAACATTTCAAGACTCCTTTTTTTTTTTTTATTCTGATTGCCAAGTATTTCAGTTAGAGGAAGAAACGAGATCTTTATCAGATACGTCCTCTTGCACATTATTGTCATTTATGTTTCGAGGCAGAAATCACAATTACTTCAATGGCTAGAAATTGTAGTAGCAGTGTTTTCAGCTTGTGCCACCAGTGGAAAAAGTTTGAGGAGAAATTTGATAAAACAGGATGTTTAGTATGAATTTTCAGAGTCCTTTAGAGCAACTTTTCCAGACTAAAAATACCTCTCTCCTGACACAGTTAGAAATCTAATGCTACAAACAGGTACAAACTGGATTTGTAAAAATGACTTGCATTTGAAAATCCTGCTAAGCATTACAGTTGCCAGCTATATGTGCCTACAGACATTTGAATATCTGCTGTGTAAAATAATAGGATTCACTGAAAATCTGCTGTAGGTACTCTCTGGAACTACTAGATATTCTTGAAAACTTCACCCAGTATCTTTTACCGCACCTTATTCCTCCTCCATAGGATAGTGGTCCACATGAGCCACTGAAATCTGAATCTTTTCTTGGGAATTACTGTGGCATTGAGAATAAAAGTTAGCTTGATTATATGTAAAAAAAGTCTCCCAGATGGTCCCTGCTGATGAAATTTACGCTTCCAGATTTTGAAGTTTCCTACTCGCACAGGTGCTGGTGCACAAAGTCGCCAGGAGGAAGGATATGCAGGGTCCTTTTTGCCTCCAAAAACATAAATTTAGCTCATTCCATCATAATAAGAAGGAAAAGTAACAGGTTTGTGGTGCTTCTCTTTTAGGTTACTTTGTCTAGCTTATTGTCTCCATTCCCAGTGCATCCAGGAAAGGTAGAACAGTATCTGCAGTACAGACAGTATCAAAGCACTCACGCAGCCCGTTCTACTCTGGAGCGCTAAAGCAGCCTGAGCTGGCTTATCCAAATCCAGTGGTGCTGGCTTGGCTGAGCAGATATGTTTGCCTTTACACTTCACCAGCCAAGTCAGGCTTCTGGCCATATGCCAAGATCTGGTACCAAATGTCTGCATCGCAGGAAAAAAAGAGCCAGATTATCTTGCTTGTATTTTCGTGTGTGGGGGTTTGGATTTTATTATTTTATTTTATTTTATTTTAATTAGGCCCATTTGAAGTTGCTTCATCTTGTTCTGTTGACAGGTCAGTGTGTTTTATGCTGCCTTCTGGTTTGCCTGATCGCTTTTGCAGCAAATTGAAAATTAAATGACCTAACCCAGCGCAGGCTCCTTTTTGTTGCTCTGATAATGCGTAGCTTTTAAAGCTCTTGAGTTTCTGCCAAACGCCAGAACTTGGCCTTCCATCATCCTCAGTGCCATCGTCCAGTAATGCAAAGGTTACTGAACTCACTGCTGCAGCTGTGAGATATGATATGCATCACTATGAAGCTGCTGTGCAATAGCCAAGACAAGGGCAGCAGAGAATGTTGCCCTGCAAATCAAAAGCTTTCAGATTTCATATGGATCAAAATCGAATCCCAAGATCTAAATATATTACTTTGGACTTGGTCCCGCCTGGATCAGGGGCAATACCCTACAGAGTCCTTTTGAAGACTTTAGTTTTACTGTACTCAAAGATAGTTCAAAATACAGAAAATCGTGTCCTCTTTCAGGCTTATGAGAATGATTTGCCAGGTCTTATTGCCACCGAACTCTGATTGTCTGTTGAATCCAAGACTTGAATCTCAGTAATCATATGATCTGCATCTGGATACTTGCATCTCTTTAAAAGAAGATGCTGTAAAGGCAGTTTCCTCACTCCACTCCCCTCAGGATTTTCCTGGCTAGTTTGAGATACTTACTGCAGCAGGCTGGTTACCCCCTTGTGCCCCACTTCCAGAAGTGATTTCTGTTGGGATTTCTGTAGATCCACTTGTGTAGAGACCAGGAGCTGTCAGAGGACCTGTCCTAACTGAAGTAGCTTGCAGGCATTCTCCGTAGATACATAGGTATGCGTAAGGAATTATTCTAACAAGTGGTGGCAATGACAGCTGTGAATCCAAAACCTATCTGTATTTTACATAATGAGATAGAAGGCATTGCAGATTCAGAGTTAAAAAAATACTTGCTATTCATCTTTTTGCAGACATGCTTAGATACCCTTAGATCTCTAGATCTCCCAGAATGACTTACTGTAAAAGGATACAGAGGGCATAAAACTGTTCATCTTCCCTGAAGAAACATTTACTTACGTTTGAGAATGGTCCCTCTCTTATTTCTATAGAAATGGTGCTTGTCACAGTACATGTTTGAAAACCTTCTGGTTTCTGCACCAGAAACATGATGCTTTTCTTTGATATGAGTACAGGACTCTCTTCTGGCCTGTTCCAGGGAGGTCCGAGGCTCAAAGATTCAAGTTCCTCAAAGCTGAAGCCAGGATCCTGCGTCTGCGCTTTTAAACAGAGCCATGTGGTGGTGTTTTGGTCACTCAGCCACTTTTAGAGAATTAAAGATCGGTAAGGGAAATAAATAAGTTCACTCCTAACTAGGAAGCACTGTGCCAATATAAAGAAAGAAAGCATTTATCTCAAATGAGGAACACGACTACAGTGTGATCTTACTGATACAAAGCCATGAGGATTATGGTTAGGCTTTCCTGACAGCAGCTGCTTCTGTCTGTCTCCTAATAAATACCATTGCCTGTGTTCCATGAAGCATGTCCATTAGATCAGCACTCCAGCACCAGGCAGGCTGGATGCTGGTGGCTCAGCAGCTGATTGGGATCATAAACTAGGCTGCTTATTGCACTAGTCAAAACAGTAAGACCTAAACACTCACAGTCAGCCTGGAGCCCATCACGCAACCTCTTGAAATGGTCTGTAGGGTTTATTCCCAGTTCCATGGCTTGACAACAGCCTATGTTCCTTCCCTGCTGCAGTTGACAGCTTTCTCTTCCTACCAGCCCAACAATTTCCTAAGTGATTTTTTCCAGAGAAATTTATTCTGTGTTTCCCAAAAGGCTTAATATATCGTAAGGTTGACATTGTCTAATCAGGTAAGCTTTTCCCATGAGGGACCGGACGCAGCACTAGAGATGCAAAAATATACAGTTCTTTGTACTGGAAGTTACAAAGTGTTTCGTAGCATATACCCGTACACAGGAGACACATATCTTACAGGTATGGTGTCTGTATGTATAATTTACTGTCCTGCACTCATCCACCCCAGGCTCCTGATTTATGGGCTAGGAAAATCAAGCTTTCATCCATGTAAGCTGCAGAACCAGGTACAGATTTATTTGCAGAAAACAATCAGAATAACTCTTCCAAGAGCTGACAAGCACCCAGCACAGTACAAAAAGCAGTATGCTGGAGGTGAAGAAACCTTAACTGAAGAAACCAAAAGAAATGATGATTTGACTCTTATCTACCATAAACTG